CTTTCATCAATGTCTCATCCAAAACCTGGAAAGTTTGACACAGTGGCGCCTCATCAGAGCAGCACTGGGACTGTCATCCTGCACAGTGGCTAAGTGGTTAGCACTGCTGCTTCACAGTGCCAGAGACCTGGGATTGATTCCACCTTCAGGCAACCATCTGTGTGGAGTTTGCATGTTCTCTCTGTACCTGTGGGGGTTTCCTCCAGGTGCTCCAGTTTCCTCCCACAGTTCAAAGATGTGCAGGTTAGGTGGAATGGCCATGCTAAATTGTCCATTGTGTTCAGGGCTGTGAGGCTAGGTGGATTAGCCATGGGAAATGGGTTACAGGGATAGGGTGGGACATGGGTCTGGGTGGGATGCTCTTTGGAGAGTTGGTGTGACTTGATGAGCCAAATGCCACACTATAGGAATTCTATAGTCCTATGATTAGGAGGTTTAAATCCTTGAAGTGGGAGTTTAAATGCAGAATGTTCGACAAAGGTGAAAGAACTAACAACTGAACTAAGGCTATGAGCTGTGAACGTCTCTCAGATTTTGTCTAACATCATTTATGGTGGACAGGCTTTAGGGAGTCAGGAGGTGTGTTACTCACCTCTGTATTCCTAGTCTCTAACGTACTCTTTTAGCCACTGCATTTATATGGCAAGTCTAGCGGAGATTCTGGGATTGAGCTTTAGGGAGAGGTTATATAGGCTGGTGCTATTTTCCCTGGAGTGTCGGAGACTAGAAGTTTATAAAATCATGAGGGGCATGGATAGGGTAAACAGACAAGATCTTTTCCCTGGGGTGGGGGAGTCTAAAACTAGAGAACATAGGTTTAAGGTGAGAGGAGAAAGGTTTAAAAGGGACCTAAGGGGCAACTTTTTCACCTGAGGGTGGTGCATCTATGGAATAAGCTGCCAGATGAAGCAGTGGAGGCTGGTACAATAACAACATCTAAAAGGCAATCTGGATGAGTATATGAATACAAGAGTTTGGAGGGATATGGACCAAATGCTAGCAAATGGGACTGGATTAATTTAGGGTATCTGGTTGGCATGGGCGAGTTGGACCAAAGTGTCTGTTTCTATGCTGTATAATCCTATAACTCTATGACTCTGTGTTTGAAACATGCTTCACAGGATTAATCAAAACTCTAGACCAGTAAGGCTGCTTGATTTCAGGATCCACCTGAAATAATATTAAGGTAGAATATAAAAAGGATTGAGTTCTGAAGAAGCATCACATCAGACAGGAAACCGTAATTCTGTTTCTCATAAAACGAAACAGCAGCAGGCCATTCAACCCATTGAGTCTGCTGTCATTCAATGAGATTATAGCTGATCTGATAATCCTCAACTCCACTTTCCTGCCTTTTCGTCATAACCCTTGACTCACTTACTGATTAAAAATCTGTCTCAGCCTTGAATATACTTAATGATCAGCCTCAACAGCCTTCTGTGGTAAAGAATTCCATAGATTTATTACCCTCAGATAAGAAATTCCTCCTTATCTGCCTTAAATGTGTGACCCCTTATTCTGAGATTACACCCTATGGTCCTAAACCCTCACACCAGGGGAATCAACTCTCCACATCTACTCTGTCAAGTCCCCTAAGAATCTTGTATATTTCAATTAGATCGCCTCTTATTTATTTAAACTCCAATGAGTCTAATCTACTCAACCTTTTATCATAAAATAGTCCCTCCATACCCAAGATTGGGCAAGTGAACCTACTGTGGACCAACTCCAATGCCAGTTGTATTTCTTCTTAGATGAGAAATCCAAAACTGCTCCCAGTATTCCAGTTGTGATCTGACTAGTTCCTTGCATAGTTTTAGCAAGACTTCCCTATTTTTGTACTCCAGTATCCAGGGATGTGCAAGCTATGTGGATTAGCCATGGAAAATGCAGAGTTACAAAAACAGAAATTGCCTGAGAAATTCAGCAGGTCTTGCAGCATCTGTGGAGAAACAGAGTTAATGTTTCGAGTCCAGTGACCCTTCTTCAGACCATTTGCCCTCTCCATTACCTGCTAAACTTGGGTCTAGCTTCTTGTGTTTTAAGGACCCCCAAATCCTGCTGTGTTCCAGCTTTCTGCAGTCTTCCTCCATTTCAATAATATTCGGCTCCTCTATTTTCTGCCAAAGAGCAAAACTTCACATTTCCTCATATTATAGCATATTCATTTTCCTCATCCAAGCCATCAGTAAATATTGCAAATAATTGTGGCCCCAGTCTCTGTGGCACTCCACTAGTTACGGATTGCTGTCCTGAAAGTGCCCCTTTATCCATACCCTCTGTTTTCTATTAATTAGCTACACCTCTGTCCATGCTGATATACTACTCCCAACACAAGTTCTTAGTGTAGTCTTATGTGTGGTAGCTTGCCAAATGTCTACTGAAAATCCAAATATATTACATCCGCTGCTTCCCCTTTATCTGTCCTGCTTGTTACCTTATTAAAGAATTTCACTAAATTTGTTAAGCTTGATATCCCCTTCATGATACTATCTTATTATGTATTTCTAAATGTTCTGCTATTACATCCTCAATAACAGACCCTAACATGTCCCAATAACAGGTGTGAAACTGACTGGCCTTCAGTTTCCTGTATTTTTGTTTCCCTGCCTTTTTAAGTGAAGGTATTATGTTGGTGGTTTTCCAATCCTTTGGGACAAATGCATCACCAGAAAAACATCCACTTCTCTCCACAGATGCTGCCAGACCTGCTGAGTTTCTCCAGTTTGTTCTGTTTTTATTTCAGGTTTCCAAGCATCTGAGAATTTCAGTTTTTACAAAAGAGATTCATTACTGGCATGTTGTCAGTTGCAGGAGATTGGATTTTCTGGTTTCCAAATCCCCCGAAAATAATTACATTAGCAAGTCAATGAATTGACCGTGATTTTAACATTGGCAATATCGAGAATCTCTTTGAAATTGGAAAATCCGATTTTCCGTGGTTGTGCAGTTAATGACACATGGCCATGTTTACCAACAATAATGAGAGCGCGAACATACCAGTTTCAGTAAAAGTGCAGAGAGCTGGTGATAAAGATCAGCGGAAGAAAACACGAACATCCTGTAATGAGGAGAGAGTGCACAGCCTGGCGTTTATGTTACACTGTAGAGAATACATCAGTTTTAAACTTTAATTAACACCGTATTGTTGTCGGTTTGGAGGCAGAATGCACCCGCGTTACCCTCAGGATCCTATTAACCAGAGAGAAACACAGAGATCTGGAGATTGGGCCTAATTCACCCCAAGCGTTGTGAACACCAGCGGACCCCGACTCTTCGCCAATTACACATCACCGACCTACCTGCACACACACACAAACACACACAGCCTTTCTTTAACTGGAAATGGCCATCGAACCCCTGAATCTGTCCCCATTAGTGAATCGGGATAGCGAATCGAAGAACCCCTGTCCCCTCACTCCAATGGTATTAGCAGGCGAGTCAGAGAGAGAGAGAGTCAGGGCTATCTCACTCTCATTCATGGGTTCCCTGAGCTGTCGGTGTATTTTGATTTATGTTCGGAATCATTGCTGGTGAATGTCAATAGTGAAGCTTAGTTCCTTAGACCTTCAGGAACTGCAGCAGCATTTCCAGAAAATCGTTTTGATTCTAACCATGTGTCAATTCAACAAGACATGCAGTTTGGGAATAAAATCTCAGACCAGCAAGATGAAGGTGGGAGTACTTTAAAGAGTTAAAAAAAAAAATAATTTTATTACCAAAGAGGAGAGTGTAACTTCCAGGTTTCAGACTGACAACTGCAATCCATCATCGATAAACAATAAGAGGCATCTCAATATTTAATAAACACACACACACACAAAGGTATGACTGAAAGACGTGAACAGGAATGCATTGCCTGTGGGAGCACATTTCATTTCCAAATGCTTCAAAAGGAAAATTGCACAGCTCTAGTTAGGAGCAGAGGAGAGGCTTTTTTCAGATACTGGTACAGACACAGTGGGCCGAATGGCCTCTTTCTGTGCGGTGTGATTTCATGAATTGGTGCACGCATACATTTATTCACACACACTGCCACACACTGTAATCACACATACACACACACTCCCATTCACTGTAAATCACACTCACAATCATAACAACACCACACACACCCGCACTCTAATTCACTCACAATCATAGGAACATCCCTCAAACACACACACACACTTCTTCAAAACACAGTCGGCAATGAAGCCGGGTGCTGGAGATAGGGAAAGCTGGCAAAAAAAAATCCCAAATCCGGGGCTGGCCCTTTTCTACACCCCTTGGGGGAGTGGGGGGGCACATAACATGTACAGACACTGCCTAAGTATACAGACCTGGCTTGTGCTGTTATTATGTGCAACCATTGCATACAAAACCAAACAAAACTTCCTGTCTGCATTCTAAACAAGACCAGTCCATGTTGGATTGTGAAAGCTCGCCCTACCTGCTCGGGGCTTGCTGGATGTTTAAAGTCCCACAGCCGCTTCTCGCTGGGTTAGCCAGGACTGGGGGGGGGGGGGGATTAATCTCTGGTGGATTTACCCAGTCTCTCAGGCTGCTTTCAAACTGCCAGGTTCCACTCTCTCAAACCTCCCCACTGTGTGATGTCCAGACAGTGTCTGTCCCCACACCGTCCCAGTCTTTTACAGGGCAAGCTGTTCGGCCAGGCGGGTCCCTGCTATCCCCTCTGCCTTGTACAAGCTGCTAATGCCAGTCTCCTGCTCTTCCTCCCTCTCTTTCCCCAGTTTATAGGAGCCTGTTCCAAACGCTCTGAGACCCACACCGTCCCGTCCTGCCAAAACCTGCAGTTTGCCAGGGTTCAGATCCCCTTCCAGCAGCTGGAATTCGGCCCTAAAGCACCTTACTACTTATCCTCCAGTAAGAAAACCTGGGGCTATTTAAAACAAAAGTCTTTGCCGAGAGACTGTGCAGGAATATGTTTCAATACTAGGACTCAGTCACACCTCTCTGGTTCCCACTTGGCTATTCCCGTTTGTTTAGACTTTACTCACGGTTTGACGGTGGCAGAGATGAATCCACGGCTTGTCCTTTGGGCTCCTAAATGCATTTGTATGCATTTGTCCCGGCAGCGTAATCCGAAGCGAAAACAGAACTCGACTGCGGCGCTGATTCATCTGCAGGTTTGCAAAGTCTGCCGGAGCGAGCCCCGAGTTCTCTCAGACCTGCTACAGCATCGGCATGCTGCTTTTGACAGTGTCCACCCGGGCGGAGAGCATTCCCCCAGCCAGGAATCTCTCTCCCTGACACAGACAAATCTCCCTCTCTCTTGTCAGACCTGCTGTGAGTTGTCTCCTCCACAGCCGAGTCGCTGGATCATTGCTAACGGGGGTGTCAGGAGCCCTCTCCGAGCCTGCTTTTGCTCCCTAGTGCAGCATTAACCTGCTCCAAGGCATCTGCCGCCTCTGTAATAGGGAGTGCACTTTAGGGGGGTGGGTGGGGGAGAATGTCAGCGGGGACGGTGTTAAATTTCATCAACCACCAACTGACATCACAGCCCCAGCGCTTATCTGCAGAACGGGAGACTGAGTTTGCAGTCAATGAACACACACACACCAGAGTCCTGGGCTAGCAAAGCGAGAAAATGATTATCAACAGGCAGAGATAGTAGGAACTGACACAAGAAATTTCCACTGGGCCAGCGTTGGGAGGCAATAAACTGAAGAGAGGGTTTAATCGGGATTTTAAAAATCAGGAAGAACTTTGCTGGAGGAACAAAATAAAGAAATTGCTGGAAAAGCTCAGCAGGTCTGATAGCATCTGCGGAGAGAAACCAGAGTTATCGTTTCGGGTCCAGTGACCTTTCCTGAGGAAGATGCTGCTGAGCTTTTCCAGCAAACCTCGGTTTTTGTTTCTGATTTCCAGCATCCGCAGTTCTTTCGGATTTCTTTTGCTAGGGTAAATCAGGAGAACGTGTTTCCAGTGGCACAGATTTGTTGTCTTTTTAACTGAACCTGTTTTTCTAATTAACCCGTTCAGAGATGGTAGTACACACTTTTGAAGCAGGCGGGACTGGAAACCGGGCCTCCCGGTCCAGGGGTAGGGACACCACCACAAGCGAGTCAATTTCAAATTGCTGTGGTGCAGGAGACCATTCAGCCCGTTGGTGCAAGGACAATCTCCTGCCTTTTCCCCCATATCCAGGCCCATCATTTCTATGTAAATAACCATCCACTGTCCCTCTTCAATGCCTCAATTGAATCTGCCTCCAGCACATCTCCAGAGGGATTCAGATTGAAGGGGAGTGTAAAAGAGAAGATGAGGAGATTTTTTTTTAAGCACAGTGGGTTATTGTGATCTGGAATATGCTGCCAAAAGGATAGTGGAAGCAGGTTCTATAATACATGGATAAATATTTGTGAAAAATATGTACAGCACTGGCAAAAATGGATAGCTGGTCAAGGAGCCAGTACAGGTATGATAGGCTGAGTGGCCTCTTCCAGTGCTGTCTCATTCTCTGGTTATACACTAGTTATTTAAATTAACTGTTCAGGCATGTTATGACACATATCTAGACTAGCAATAATACCTGGAGGCTATTGCCTACCAGGACTAATGGAGGCTTAGCTGACTTTCAGGGAACTCTGTCATACACAGCTACTTGCAGAAAAAGCTTAGCAATGCCCTTTGGAATTCCTGCACAAACATTTCCCTACCTCAGACTGGGGGAATGATTTTACACTGCAGAACAAACCAACTCTATCACCAGTTCCCCAATAAAACCCAGATTTACCTCACTGGGAGGATTAGAATTTGTTCTGTTGAAATCCTCAACATTTGCTCTTGCACTGGGATTAACATGGTTGTTATCAGGTGCGAAGGACTGCGTTTTGGTTAAATTCCAAGTACAAATTGCCAGGAGAAAAGAAAATCCTGATAGTTGACAAGTGAAATGATAAATCAATTCAGATATGATAACCCACACACTTAAACAGGTCCCAATTTGCTTGATCAGTGGAACAAATGCATTAGGCCATACAAGATGCACAAATCATTAAAAGTGGGGAGTCAGGTTAATGACAAGATTGTAAGGAATATGGGCTGCGGTTCACTGCACAGCACTCTGACCTCTGACTTTGAGCGTTGTGAGTTTAAATCCCATTTTAGGACTGCAATCCTATAGAAGGTGTGTTAACTAAAATGGAGCTGTTCATTTTTACAATTTGGAAGCTGCCTTCCCAAGAAAATAGTGATTTTAGTCGCTTGACTAAGACTTGTAGGATATTAAATCTTGACTATTGGGAAATGTGAAAACTCAAACTGGAATTCCAAAGGGAAGGAAGAGAATCACAAAAAGAAAGAAAAACATGAGTGCTTTGAAAAGTAGAAAATAAAGGTTTTAATTATATGAACAGGAAGTTAGAGGTAGGTCTAATGAAAGGTAAGATTTAACTCCTGCAAAGTTTCTAAAATAAGGGAAGCTGTTGTTCTAACTGATAGTTAGTACTTCATTTCTAATCACCTCATGGGATAGTGCACTGGAAATCAAACCCAGTCTTCACAAAAATTAAAGATTTATAATGTCTACATAAGTTCCCATTTTACTTGATTTACCAGGTTGGATAGAAAGTACAGACCAGGTTTCTATACTAAACTGGAATGACTATTTATTACAAGTAAGTAAAGTCCAGCTACAGGTAAAGAATTATAAAAATGCTGGTAAAAAACACTATCATTTAATCTCTAATCCCCCTCTCAACACACATGCAGACAGACAGGATAAAATAGGTTGTGGAGAGAGGTAAAAAAAAAGTTTGATGTTTGATCCCAGGTTTCTTTGTTGAGATGATCTTTGTGACCCTTCTGCTGGCCAACAGTCACCTTTCTCCAGATGCTTCCACTGGCTGGTTCCCTTATCAGTTATCACTTACCAGTTAAAAGTTACCGCTTTCAACAACAGTTTCAGGAAGAGTAATCTGATTTTCTTGGGTTTCAAGTGAGCTTTGATGGCAGAGAACAAAGAGACTGCTCCTGAGCTGGGAAGAACTGAAACTGTCCTCCTTTCTTTCTGTCCCTCTGTCACTTGTTCCCAACTCTAAGCTGATCAGTTACCCGACAACCAATCACACATTTACTGGCAGGCAAAAAGATATCTGTCATTGATAACTGGTCACTAGTCCTTAGACCAATGAACTTTTCATCACAAAAAGTGGCATCTGTACACCCCCCTCGGCTCCAAACTGTCTGCAACTTACACTTCAATTACCGTTAGTTCAAGCATTTGTTTATGATGATTCCTATGCGTGTCAGGTTACGTATTTTTCAAAACTGCAGCTTCCCTTTCAAACACTGTTGTTAAACTAGCTGCTTCTCGTTTGAGTCGTCAGATTTTGTTTAAAATGCAAAAGTCGAAAGGAACAGTCCTTACAAGCTGGAGAGAGAAGCAAAGTAATAGTGAACAGGATACCAGTGACCATAAGGGTGATGATAGATGTGCAAAAGACAGCTGCTTCTCACAATAGTGAGAGTCAACGGGGGAGTAGAGATGATTCAAAAGGCCCAACATTTTTTTGTTGTCATAAAACAGGCCATTTAAAGGCAATTTACTGGATGTTAAAACTTAAAGCAGTCGCTGTTGAGAGTGCGTCTCGTCTTCCTCTAGAAAATGTTGGACCAGTATGAGGAACTGATGACCAACCCATTCCAACTAATGTATTTACCATTGGAGTATAACAGAGAATTAAATATTATGAGGGCTTTGCATTCGAGAGAAATAACATCACTTTTATCTCATAAACGACCCAAATAGAGTCATAGAGTCATACAGGACGGAAACAGACTCTTCGGTCCAACTCATCTATGCTGACCAAGTTTCCCAAACTAAATTCATCCCACAGCCTGCATTTGGCAAATATCCCTCTAAACGTTTTGTAATCATGTACTTGTCCAAATGTCTTTTAAATGTTGTAACTGTACCTGCATCTACCAATTCCTTTGCAGTTCATTCCAGATACAAATGACCCTCTGTGTGAAAATGTTGCCCCTCAGGACCCTTTTAAATCTTCCTCCTCTCACCTTAAAAATATGCCCCATATTTTTGAACTCCCCTACCTTAGGAAAGAAAAACCTTTGCTATTCACCTTATCTAAGTCCCTCATGATTTTATAAACCTTTATGAGGTCACCCCACAACTCCTATGCTTCAGTGAAAAATGTCCTCGTCTATCCAGCCTCTCCTTAAAACTCAAACCCTCCAGTCCTGGCAACATCCTGGTAAATCTTTTCTGAGACTTCTCCAATTTAATAATATCCTTCCAATAACAGGGCGACCAGGACTGTCCCCATATGCCAAAAGTGGCCTCACCAATGTCCTGTACAATAACAGAAGTTGCTGGAAAAGCTCAGCAGGTCTGGCAGCATCTGTGAAGAAAAAATCAGAGTTAACTTTTCGGATCCGGTGACCCTCTCAGTTCTGAGAAAGGGTCACCGGACTCGAAGTGTTAACTCTGATTTTTTCTTCACAGATGCTGCCAGACCTGCTGAGCTTTTCCAGCAACTTCTGTTATTGTTCCTGATTTTCAGCATCCGCAGTTCTTTTGGTTTTTAATGTCCTGTACAACCTCAACGTGATGTCCCAACGCCTATACTCAAAGATCTGAGCAATGAAGGCAAGCATGCTAAACGCCTTCTTTACCACCTTGTCTAATTGTCATGCAACTTTGAATTGTTATTCTTAGAGACACGGCATTGTCTCAAAGCCTGAAGTCAGCAAAAGAGATGGACATCTCTCCAGAGAATCTCCTGAATAAAGGAGGATTGATACAGGACATTGCTGGAAATTATCTTCCTGTTCCCTTATATAGACTATATTTAAACTGTATTTCGGTCAATGTTCAATTATTATTGGAGTTGAAAGGTCCAAGTGTAAACACAGATATAAAACCAATACTTGGAATCCAGATGTAATGTTCAAGTAGTTTTATTCCACATGCATATGGGGAGCCAGTGCTGAGAAATCCAGGGATACTTTTCCACCAAGTTTTAAAATGAGCAAATTTATGTCTGTTTTATTATCAATGATAATTAACAGCATCAGGTAGAGCAAGGCCACACTAAAATAGCCTCCAATGGCCCGCTAATTGTGTTATTGTACAATTACATTCTGGTAATTGCATTACAGAGATCTGTAAGTCTCAAAGGGTCTGTGTTTATTTTGCATAAAAGGTTTAAGGAGGTGAATGGATGTTGTTTTGAGCCATCTGACAGTGGCCTTCTCCATTTCTTACTAAGGTTATCTTGTGTCAATGTTTGTGCTGTTGAATTGCCTATGATTAAACCCTCCTGCCCCCTCCCCACTTATCCACATCCTCTTTTTCAATTTGTTTAGAATATAGGATATAACAGGTTACTTTGAACGGCTGCCCATGTGTAAGTTTATATCTG